CTATGACATCAGCGGTGACGTCATCCCCGGGCGCAAAGGAAGTGACGTCACCCTCGGTCGTGACGTCACCAGCTGGGGGAGGGGAGGGGCTGCCCCGCCCCTCTGTGACGTCATCGCCCTCCCCGGCCGCGGTGACATCAGCGGCGATGACGTCATAGGCGATGATGTCATCATCGGGGGGCTCCTCCTCCTCAGGGGGCGGGGCCACCACGGTGATGGTGATGCCACCGGCGCGGCAGGGGACACCGATGGCACCGATGTCCCCGATGTCCCCGATGTCCCCAGTGTCACCAAGGACAGGGACAGCGATGTCCCCAGTGTCACCAATGTCCCCCGGGGTGGTGACGGTGATGTCACCGAGGGACCCGGTGTCCCCAAGGACAGGGACAGCGATGTCACTGATGTCCCCTGGGGTGGTGACAGCGATGTCCCCAATGTCCCTTTTCCCAATGTCCCCAATGATGTCCCCACTGTCCCTGTCCTCGGGGGTTGGGACACTCCTGTCCCCAATGTCCCCGATGTCCCCTGGGGTGGTGACACCCCTGTCCCTGCTGTCCCTGTCCCCCCTAACCAGGATGTCCCCAATGTCCCTGCTGTCCCTGTCCCCGCTGTCCCCAATGTCCCCAGTGACCGGGATGTCCCCAATGTCCCCCAGAGCGGTGACATCGCTGTCCCCGATGTCCTCGACCAGCACGGTGGGGATGGCGCTGTCCCCAATGTCCCCAACGTCCCCTCTGTCCCTGATGTCCCTCGGGGTGGTGACATCGCTGTCCCCACTGTCCCTGTCCCCGCTGTCCCTGTCCCCAACGTCCCCTGGAACTGGGACATTCCTGTCCCCAATGTCCCTGTCTGCACTGTCCCTGTCCCCGATGTCCCAAATGTCCTTCAGGACGGTGACAGCACTGTCCCCACTGTCCCTGTCCCCAGTGATGTCCCTGTCCCCACTGTCCCCTGGGACTGGGACATTCTTGTCACCGCCATCCCTGTCCCCACTGTCCCTGTCCCCCGTGTCCCCAGTGTCCCTCAGGACGGTGACACTCCTGTCCCCAATGTCCCCAAGGTTGGGGACACTCCTGTCCCCGATGTCCCTGTCCCCAATGTCCCCAATGTCCCTCAGGATGGTGACAGCGCTGTCCCCTCTGTCCCCATCACAGGGGATGGGGACACGGCCCTGTCCTGCCTCGCCGGTGATCCCAATGTCCCCAATGTCCCCAAGGTTTGGGACACTCCTGTCCCCAATGTCCCCAATGTCCCCAATGTCCCCAAGGCTTGGGACACTCCTGTCCCCAATGTCCCCAATGATGTCCCCAACCCCCCTGATGTCCTTCACATTCCCGATGTCCCCAATGTCCGCAAAATCCTTGGGAACCTCGATGTCCCCGATGATGTCCCCGATGATGTCACCGCTGTCCTTGATGTCCCCAACATTCCCAATGTCCTTGATGTCTCCAAGGTCCCCGATGTTTTGAATGTCCCCAATGTCCCCAACGTCCTTGATGTCCCTGATGTCCCCAGAATCCTTGGGAACCTCGATGTCCCCAATGTCCCCAATGCTCTTGATGTCCCCAATGTCCTTGATGTCCCCAATGTCCCCAGAATCCTTGGGAACCTCGCTGTCCTCGCCGCTGTTCCCGATGTCCCCGCCGATGTCCCCAACGATGTCCCCAACGATGTCCCCAGCGATGTCCCCGCTGTCCTCGTCCGGCGGCGCGGCGGTGACAGTGATGGTGATGCCACCGGCCCAGGGGGTGACGGTGACAATGTCACCCCCGATGTCACCGCCGATGTCACCCCCGATGTCACCGCCGGTGCCACCCCCGATGTCACCGCCGGTGCCACCCCCGATGTCACCCCCGATGTCACCGCCGATGTCACCCCCGATGTCACCCCCGATGTCACCGCCGATGTCACCCCCGATGTCACCGCCGGTGCCACCCC